ACCCTATGACCACATTAATAAACAGCAACAATTCTCCTTATATTTTACTACCCTATGACCACATTAATAAACAGCAACAATTCTCCTTATATTTTACTACCCTATGACCACATTAATAAACAGCAACAATTATCTCTATATTTTACTACCCTATGACCACATCAATAAACAGCAACAATTCTCTTTATATTTTACTACCCTATGACCATATTAATAAACAGCAACAATTCTCCTTATATTTTACTACCCTATGACCACATTAATAAACTGCAACAATTCTCTATATTTTACTACCTTATGACAACAGTAATAAACAGCAACAATTCTCTTTATATTTTACTACCCTATGACCATATTAATAAACAGCAACAATTCTCTCTATATTTTACTACCCTATGACCACATTAATAAACAGCAACAACTCTCCTTATATTTTACTACCCTATGACCACAGTAATAAACAGTAACTATTCTCTTTATATTTTATTACCCTATGACAACAGTAATAAACAGCAACAACTGTTCTTATATTTTACTACCCTATGACCATATTAATAAACAGCAACAATTCTCTTTATATTTTAGTACCCTATGACAACAGTAATAAACAGCAACAATTCTCCTTATATTTAACCTAACACTATGGAATTATCCTATATTTTACTACCCTATGACCACATTAATAAACAGCAACAACTCTCCTTATATTTTACTACCCTATGACCACAGTAATAAACAGCAACTATTCTCTTTATATTTTACTACCCTATGACCATAGTAATAAAGAGCAACAATTGTCCTTATATTTTACTACCCTATGACCACACAACAACTCTCCTTATATTTTACTACCCTATGACCACAGTAATAAACAGTAACTATTCTCTTTATATTTTATTACCCTATGACAACAGTAATAAACAGCAACAACTGTTCTTATATTTTACTACCCTATGACCATATTAATAAACAGCAACAATTCTCTTTATATTTTAGTACCCTATGACAACAGTAATAAACAGCAACAATTCTCCTTATATTTAACCTAACACTATGGAATTATCAAACTTACGTCTTCTTCTTCAGCTGCACACTCATTATCATTCTCATTTCGTTCCTCTTCATTATCATCCCTCTCATCATTATCATTGTCCTGAAAGTCATCTTCTTCTTCTTCTTCATCACTAGTATCATGCACTCCATCCACTTGTGGTATCCTGTCAGGCTGTTAAAAAAGTCATTTTATTAACCTGCATGTTTTATTTTACACTGAAAATTTGACTAGTTTTAGTAAAAAAAAGGGGGGGAAACTTGTAAGTTTATTTCACCAATTTCTCATAAGGAAAATAATGTCATAAAAGAAAACTTAAGATATATTAAGCTATCGAGCAGGAACACATAAAAGACAAGTGCCATTAATACAAAAAGTTACCTGTGCTGAAACCATATTTTGTTTATGAATTACAATTCATCTCAACATTTATCTCATTTATTCTTTAACTCAAAAACAAAAAAGACAAGACTCAACACAAAAACATCTTTTTTTTCATTATTCACAAATAAACATAAAGTAAGAAAACATTTTGGCAGCAAAAACGTCCATTAAGTAGAATTATCATATTTCTTAAACTCTGAATAAAACATTCCCCATGAATTAAGAAACTCTTGAGTCAGTGTTTGCTAAATGGATGTTCTCATAGTTGAAACATCACTCAATTTTTTAGTTACTTTAAAATTTGCAAATTGTCTCCCCCAGTTGATTCTGTTGAATGATTTATGGTTGATAAACACATAAGAAAAAGACCATTAGCTGATTAATTGAAACAAACATAATGAGTTTGTTAATTAATTATCCTTGTCTATTAATTTTCCTTCAAGTGGTTGGTAGAAAAAAGACAAATCAACATGTTGAAAAAAATTATCTTGAAAATGTAATTTAATATGCACATCTATAAGAAAAGAAAGAATTATTACAAAAAATGCATAAAAGGCCAAATTTCTTCTTCAGACTTTAGTCTTTGTTAAAAGATTTAAGGTTACATTTTCAGGTTACTTCTCAGTTAAAAAAAAAAGAATTACATGATTAACTTTTCATTACAACAAATACTTAAGACAGTTAGATATAGTTTATCTATCAATAATATAGCATATTTAGTGGTCTTTGAGACAAACTGAAATAAAATACAATTGCAGGTTTACATTCAAAATAGTAGTACTGGGTGCATGAGATACATTCACAGTGTACTGAGCTTGTTTATCCAATGTAGATGTAGAGAGAGTTTGAAACTGGATATCTGCCCCTTGTTGACTGGTACCTGAAAGATTAATCCACTGAAATGAGTAATAAAAACTTAAAGGTTTCTATTAAATATTTTTCATTACGTAATAAATCTGTAAACTTTGAGATTATATCTAACTGTAAATCAGAGTAATTACATTTATAACTTTTAAAGATTGACGACCCTATCTCTCGAGTTTTTTATTTCTAAAAGTTATGATTCTTTTATATTAATTGCATGGAAAACAGTTGATGTGACTAGAATGTTGTTTTTGAGTATAAGGCATATTCTTCATGAAGAACTAGGGTTAGTGGGAATTATGTCATTCAACAGCAGACAATTAATACAAATATTTATTAGGCCTCATATCAAATTTATTCTCCATTAATTGGGTCTTATTTCACAAAATAACATTTTCTACAAGAATAATAAAAACTTAATTGAGAATGGAGCAGTACATGAAAACAAGAGCTACACTAACTACAATTTAAGCAAAATAAGAGTGTTTTATTTCAGACTAGCACTGAACAAATCAACAAAAATAAAAAATTCAGATAAGAACTTACCAGTCTGGGTTTGTGGGGTACTTAAGACACCAGCTTGTCTTAGAGCTGCCTGCTGAAGTAAGGTTGCTGCCACATGGGGACTCAGAGCAAGAGCAGCACTTGCAGCTGGAGCAGACTGGAACATATACGTAAACGAGTGTTAAGTATGTAACGCAAGCTTTCCCACTGAGCGGGTATCTTTGAAATTAATCTAGGAAAAATTGTACATGAACCAATGAAAGAAAAAAATTTAAAAAAGAGAGGTAACTGAAATGCCTGTCACTTATGCATTTGTGTATAGCATTTTTTTCCCATCCTTGTTATCAAACATGGGTTTATGATAACAGTCCTTCGAAATATTTCTCGAAAAAAATTACTTGCTTTTCTGAGAAAATTTATACTGTTTGTCTGTTGTGCTTATGGAGCAATGTAGAATTCAGTTTTTTTTTATTTAAGACCAAACACTGCACTCACCAAAGTACTTCATAATGAATTTTTTAAGTACTGCAAATCTATTTTGCACATTATCACTGACATACTAAAAGTCAGGGATGAGAACAATAAATTAAAAGTTTGGCTGGTCCTGGCCTAATCCATAAAGGCTGGGGACTAGGTGCTCTCTAGTGAATTCTAGGTGATTTTGGAGCACAAAATATTTGCATTATTTAATGCTTGGATGATAAGTAAACATTGGACTTCCTCCACTTTAACTCGTATCCCAATGATCTAAATTACAGACCAATTAAGTACAAATTGGTCATTTCATAACATATTGAAGCAATACTTGAACAAGTTAGTTACCACTAATAATTTACAAGCTGAGTCTCTTAAAAGACACATATTAATATTTTGCTTATTTTTGTGAAAATAAAAATGCAGGCAAAGTTATACAGTATCATGTGGATGACTCAAGTTCTCTGGTCCCACAATTCGACTCTTCATGTATAACATTACTTAACATACTTATAATAATTTCAGAATCATGGCATGTATTAGGTTTGAAATATGTTTTCAATTGTAATAAAAAATCCTTAATTATTGAAAACAATTTTGAGAATTTTGTGCAATACCCCCCCCCCCAAACTTTCACTGCATCATGTCTATATATATCTTAATTTAGGATCCATCTAAATGATTTCACACGTCTTCAAAGATGGTTTGTGATAGGTCAGTTCTTCATCAATCAGCCAGTTAAACAGACCCCCAGATATTGATTTCAGGTCAATACAAATATAAAAATTGGACAAGGTAATCTTGTATCTAGCCTACTAGTAGTTATATTAGGTTGTCAAAAAAATAACATCGCTTTTTTTAATATGAAAAAACCGAACAACTTATATATCAAAATAATCATTTATTAAATGAGATAGTCTCCATTCTTATCGATGATGCTTTCCATCTTACAATCAGGTTGTTAATGCTCTGATTAAAAAAACCACTTGGCTTTAAAGCAAAAAACATGTCGATGTCCTCTTTAACACCTTCCATATTTGCATACATTTTCCAATTAAGATGGTGTTACAGTGAACAAAAAAGATGGTAATCTGATGGTGCCATATCTGGAGAATATGGTGGGGGGGGGGGGGTATTTTCTACCCCAACTCCTAATATTGTTGTTGTGTCAAATTTGAAATTTGTGGTGCTTATTTGTTG